AAAAAAAAAAGGCAGGATCAACACGGAACAGGAATCGAGCTCAAAAGGGAACGCTTTTTTCCATGTTATGACAACGTACTCCCAAGAAGGAATTGCTTCCCTTCTCCAGTTAAGTCGGTCGGTCGTTCAGTAAAATAAAAAAAAGAGTGGTGGGGGGAAGAAGTTAGCGCGCATTTCCCTCGAAAGTAACCTCTAATTCATGCCAGTTAAACACTAGAACTAAAAATTTACAAAGAAGCATCAAAGGAGATGGAAGTGTTATTCGAGTTACTTTTTCCTCTCTGAACAGTCCAGAAGAAAAACGACGACTACAAATACAGCAGGCAAACCGACTGTCGGGCTGATGGGTATAGGAGATATATATAGTGTTGTAAGGAATTCAGTCTCAAGTTGTGCTCCACGCTCTTCGTCCTCTGTATGGCACATTTTGGTCCATGATGGGGATTTTAAGTTGAGACGAACCCCGATTTCTTACAGAAACGTGTAAATATTGTTGCTCTTTAAAATGCCAGGTGTACTTCCTTCTACAAAGGTTAGGAGAGGTTTATAGGAAGTAGTCTGGGGTACGACGGGTAACATGAGGCTCTCCACGACGAGGCGCTGGGTCAAACTGGAGGCTGCAGGAAAGAAAAAGGGATCATTTTCCCTCCTCCACAAGGTATTTCCCAATGCCGCAATAAACACCAGACTTGCTCTCCTGCTGCTATTGCTTCATTCATCCCAGCTACTTCCACATGAAACGTTCCAGGTCCCAAAATAAGCATCCGTGGGAGTTAAAACTCATCAGCTGGCCGAAATGCTGCTCACGGAGTGACCACCACCCAGCAGGCAGCACTTCAGCAGCCCATCGCTACTTTCACTCAAGCTCAGCTGAATGCAGAATTCGGACACTCTCACCCATCTTTACAAAGCCCACTGCTACCAAAAATAACAACTAATACATAAATCGATCTGTCTTTACTCTCTGCACCAAGCTTGGGCAATAGAGGGATTCAGAAAATGCAGAAGCTACAACTCTCCAGAGAGCCAGGAAGAGGAGATAATGCAGTACCCGAGAGAAGCTCTTAAGAGCTTAACTCACTACTTATTTTTAGATTTTCTTTCAGGTAGAGCACACAACGTTAATTCCAGAGCGGTTTGAACTGGCTTTTCACGAAAGAACCCCTTTGGAAAGGATCAGACATTCCTCACAATACAGAACGGTTAGGAAGAGAGAACAGCCCGAGCCGGGTTACTCACAAGGAATATTTTAAAGTGTCATCTAGTTCCATGATAGCAGCCTGGTTCCCACAACGGTAACAGTAATTGGGCGCACTGAAAATGGTGACCACATTTCGGTCGTGGCACCAATTATAACCCTGCCGGAAAAAGAGAGGGGGAAAAAAAAAAAAAGGTCTCTGTTAAACCTCAAACCTCAGCCCGTCTGAAGTTCCTCTAAAGGTCTGAAACCATCCAAGGCATTTGTGAAACTGTAGGCTTCTCATAAGCGTTTCCAACTGACTTCGTTTCATTTTAAAAGTAGCGCTTCTACCGCAAGAGCAAGCGGTAGAGTTGCTAGTTGCCTACAAAAACAGCTTCAACCCACACTACAGAGAGATCGGCCATTCCTCACCTGTGTGTTTATCCATTTTGTACTCAAATTATGGATTGTACCACGAGAAACCTCGAGATTTTTAGGCGTGCCTTCGGCTTTCATCCACCACAAACGAGGATTTGCCGGCTGGATGCAAGCGACTTCTGACAGACAGTACTACTGAAGGGACCTACTTGAACTGGATTTTAAAAATGCATCTGCTCCATTGACCCACCTGGCGTTTTTCCAGCACGACACACAAGAAGAGCCTATCAACAGCCAAAATTACGGCTTAACCCCCGTCACGTTTGACTGCCGAGTATTACAGGACAGCCTGTTTAATGCAGCAGCAGTCTAAGTAGAGCGGTCAGCATGTAAGGAGATTATTACTTCCACAAATGGGGTGTGACAGGGTCCCTTTGGCAATTTACTTGGGGGGGTGGGGTGGGGAAGGGCAGAACATCCCCTTATTTACATCGCAGGTCAAAGCACATCATTTTATGTTGCTTCTTGTTTTCACATGACTGAAGTCCCTCTTTGGTGTTTACCTGCTTAACATTTAGGTGTCAGCAAACCCATCAGCGGAAGGTTTCACAGAGAAGACAAGAACTCACACCTATGTTTTGTAAGCCCCATCTAGCAGAGTGCTTGCCCTACCTCCATGACAAGTTGGTGAGCACGGGAGACCAGTGTGAGACCATTGGCATGGTTAAATGTTTCAGAAATATCTTGCCCAAACGTGTAGCCAGCACCACGTGGAGATATACCCCAGCCGCCACGATCATCCGGATCCGACCATAACAGATCGCACATAGGACCCTTGAAAAAGATGAAGCGTTTGCTCTTCGTTAGATCGCTAGCAAGCCCGTTATAAAAAGCCACTTTGAAAATGCATTTTATTTACAGTAAAAAGACTGCCAGCATGCCGTCCTCTGCGCAAGGCACATGAGTTTATTTAACACACATAATATCGGCTAGTTACTCACTGCATCAGCCAGCATCCTTCCCAAAGAAATGAATACGTACACAGCTGACTGAGAAAGGAGTCGATGTAATCAGAGAACTGTTCCCACCTCCTCTTCCACGCACACCGTTTACCGTTTCACTTCAACTAGCCAGAGATACGAAGACACGGAGAGCAGATCCACAGCCTTACTCCTGACTCTCACGGTATAATAGAAAAGGCCACGTGAGAAGGTATGCGCGTCCAAGGATACATAATGGGTTCACTGGTGCCAGCCAAGTTGCAATAAATTAAAGAAAGGGAAACGACCTGTAGGAGGCTATGAACTAACTGTTCCAGAGATTGATGTTAAGCCTTCAGCAGCCCTTCTGGCAGGGAATTAATCATTTCATTTCCTCTCCTAAACAGTCTACTGTTGGACTTGACATATTCAAAAATATCCTGGTGTACATCTTCTAATAGTCACAAATGAAGCTCAGCGGCTTTTCTTGCTGAGCTACTAAGGGGTAGTAAAGACACTCTAGAATTTATCCAAGCCTGCTGCTGTTTCCCACCCCTCAATCTGAGCTCTGTGGTAGGTATCACACTGGCTACACGCGGAGGTCCTCCGGACAGCTAGATTTCAGCACACAGATACGCAGCAGCGGACTGGGAAAACCCCAGAGCAACAATACAATCATTACACCTAACTACAGGTAGATGTCCCACCAGGTAGCCCCCCCCCCCCCCTGCCCACGCAGTTCGCTTCACCCAAACACCGGGTAATGTCCCCCCAGGGGCCCCCCCCCCCCCCCCCGATTCTTGGAGTAACTTACACAGCTTATTTCAGGTTTTTGGAAAGCTTGGGCAGACCTTGCTGCATTGTTCTTGCTGTTATACCAAAGACATTGTAGGACAAGCAGTTCATTTTAATCAGGGAACATTTGTAAGCCCCAACCACGCCAACACAGAAGAGCCATTTGCCACCCTGGGAGCTCAGAAGGTGGTCCCTTCAGTCCTGATCTCGGGCCCCCAGAAAACGATGAACAAGGCGAAACACCGCAGAAGAAAGGACTGGCTGGGGAGGAAGGATGGTGACACAACATGGCTTCACGTGGTGGTTGTGCGTTCACAAGCAAGTCTGTGATGAGGCTGAAGGTAGTAAACACCTTCCCCTGCCAAATACTATTCTTTGAGTCAGCGCGACAGTCAAAAAATCCCGTGATTCTGTGAAAAACAGCTGTGAAAACCCCCATAGCTCTCCTTTTGTAAATTGCTGTAATCAAAGCATATTGACTTGTGTGTGTTTTGCCCAAATGCATGTTCATCTGCTCTAGCTCTTAGAAAGGCAATAATCTGCTGTGTAACCGCGTGTCCCACTGTTTAAATGGATTTCAATGTGAGGCTACATTTGCATTTTCCACCAACAGATATCTAAGTTTATGATGCGTTTCCTTTCCTGTTACCTCGTGTGGAACTTCCTGCAGGCGGTCCAGAGCCCTGATATGATCCAGTGTATCTATGGATGGAGAGAGGCCACCGTGGAGACAGAATATCTGTTCCGGAAAAAAAGAGCAATCCGTTCAGTGCATGTCGTTATGGGAAGACTGATCTCAGAAGTAGCTGGTTTTAGCTCTGTTATCACTCTTGGACAATTACAGCCATCTCACCCTCGCAGCAGAGCAACCAAATTTAATTCCCGCAGAAGGAAACAAAATTAAAAGGCTGCACCTTGCGTACAGAGATCAGAGCAACAGCAAAGAGACCACGCCTTCCGTTTTAAGAACATCTTCCCTCACGGCCACAACTCAGCTCGCATCTGATGTATCACGAGGGGATCCCCACTTGTTGAGCAGTCATTTAAAATGAACCATACATGCAATACCCTGCCATTCCTTCGGCAGCAGAACCGAAAGCCTTCCCGCACCATCAACTTGTATTAACACCTCACTAAATTCTTCCCCAAACCTACAGTAAGTACATGGGCTTTAAAAAAATTCGGATCACGAGTTAAGGGAGCTTGTTTGAGACTCATCATGTAGAGGTCAGACAACGCAGTCCGCGTAACTCTACGAAATGGAGCGTTTTCCTCATTCAAGGCTTACCTGGCCATCTACTAGAGCTGTAAGCGGAAGATAATCAAACAGGTCTGTGAAATACTTCCAGACGTTGGCGTTGCCATACTTTCGCAGACATTCGTCATAAAAGCCATACACTTGTGTAATTTGTCTGCTTTCGTGATTGCCCCTCAGTATTGTAATGCGTTCTGGGTAACGCACCTATTGACAAAGAAAACTCTTCTTTAACACAAGAATTGTACCATCAATACGGAAAGAAACAGAGTATTTCAAACAGCGGTCAAGCATTCAGCTCGGTTACAGAACAGCACGTGTCCATTAACGCATTTCAATTTACATCCGTCTAGCTCAAGCCAACGGCAGCGTCAATGGGAGAGGCAATTCCTTCAAAACTCCCCGAAAGCGGGGTTTTGCCCAAGGCTGCTGTAGAAAAGCTGTCAAACCATACCTTCAACGCTACTAGAAGAGTCACCGTTTCCACCGAGTAATAGCCTCTGTCCACGTAGTCTCCCATGAACAGGTAATTTGTGTCTGGCGATTTCCCGCCAATTCTAAAGAGTTCCATAAGGTCGTGGAATTGACCGTGGACATCCCCACAGACGGTGACGGGGCAACGTACCTCTTGCACATTCGATTCTTTCGTAAGAATTTCTTTAGCCTAGCAAGAAAAACACATTCAGGACAAAACGTTAGGAAGCTCCTCCATAAGCAGGTGCAGATATTATCCCACTGCATTCACACTGGAAACAGGACAAAACGTTAGGAAGCTCCTCCATAAGCAGGTGCAGATAAGCAGATGTTATCCCACTGCATTCGCACTGGAAACCCGATTTCACTCCAGCAGCTCAAGCTGACCACTGGAAAAAACAGTCTGTCGGGTAAGCAAAGGCAAAGTGCATTTCACAAATCCCTGTGGACAAAGACAAGCAGGTTTGCTACTGCGAGGCCAGGTCAGTAAGATCTTATTGTACCACAAGCACTGACAAACAAATTCAAAGTAACTGAACAAGTTAATTGCCAGCCTCCCCTGAAATGAAGCAGTGTGAACTCCAAGTCTTGCCCTGGATATACGACTTCCACCACCGCTGGGGTTCACCCGTGAATCCTGTGCTTCTTCCAAACATTTCTCAAGTGCAGACAAGACCAAGCACTATCCCAGTAAGCTTCATTAGCATCACGGGCAGACGTTATCTTCTTAAGCACGACTGATGGTTTGGTTTTGCGTTTGGGGTTTTTTTGGGTTGGTTTTTTTTTTCCACATACAGATTTTGACAGATTTCTCCATCTACGTGTTCAAAGCAGCTCAGGTCTGTTCATCTCAGCTATGCGAACTATGGCAGCACTCAGCACTCTGACTGCCAAAGCCAAGTGCTATTCAGTTTCACAATACCTAGAAACTTTTACCTCAAGAACCACAGCTGTCCCCTCAGTATTGCAGGCCATCCCATGTCCTGCCAGCAAGCGTTCAGCACGAAACTCGTATGAACAGAGATTAGTCAATACTCTTGCCGTCTGCTGTAAGGGTAGAAATACCAGAGGAGATAGTGCATGCCACTCAGGCAACTATGCCGTTTTTTTTCCAACAGCTTGATTTGCAAAAGCACACATAAAGCTAGATTATTATTTGACACTCACAATAGTAGGAAAACTATGACCTCCTAGACTTCTGATAGAAGTCATCCGACTTGCAACGATGCACTTACACACAGACTCCCTCCTGCCACATTTTAGTCTGAGTACCATCTCAGTTGCCAACGGATTGCTCTCAAACCCACGCAGCCATGTGGAACGACTCGCTTTGCCACCTTCGCTGGCAACACAGCAGCAGGCTGGAACAACTCTTCTGCCAGCACTGACAGCTGCTCCTCACTGCCTTCCTCCTCCGGGATCCCTCAGGCTTCCCCCCGCCGTCGGACACCCGTAAACCTCACGTGCTCTCCCAAGACCAGGATTTTGCAGCAGCGGGTCCGCACCACGGAAACAGCACTGCAAACAGCGTGTTTGTTCCGTATCAACAAAGCCAGCTCACCGTGCGATCGCTGAGCGGAGATTATGCTAAGAAAGGCTGCACATGACAAAGCAGCTCATCTGGCAGAAACTCCGGGCGACTACGACGGCACCAGATGAGCTGAGCTGTGTTACTCTGCCAAACAATAACCAAGGCGAGCGCCAGGGCCGGGGGTTGACGGGGCTGCCCCAGCTCTCCAGAGGTGCCGCACTTGCGGATTGCATAGGGGCGAGTACGAGACGACTGGAGCCATGTGTCAGGAAAGGGAACCTTCTCTGCACATTCCCAGAACACGCGGGAACTAACAAATTCATTTACCTTGCAGAGGGGCAGACTTCTTCTTGCCTAAGCTGCTGAGGAAAACAACTATTCCTAAGCTTCACTTTACTAACCTGGCACAGAACATCACTGCATATGCAAGAGGCGCTTCTCTCGCCCAGGGCACTTTTTGCCCTGCCAGATTTCCAATCCTCTTCCAAGCACAACAGTTGAACAACTTCTAAAGGCGGATCACATACAACTGGAAAAGCAAAGTCAGAGGCAATTTAACCATATGGAGCCACAACCAGCTTCCCTGGCAGTACCCAGCTGGCAACAAAATGACCACAGATGGAGGGATGGCACCCCTGGATTTAGTCATCTCTTCCTCTACACCCAGCAGTTCCTCCGCTAATTACAGCCATGTAATGTGGCCTATCTGCATTACCTTATTATCGTTATCAAGTATCATGTTTGTTTTGTTGCCTCCAGCTCATCAACTGATGCAGATCAGCGCTCCAGGCACATGTGAGGCACAGAGAACACCCACAGACGGGCTCGGTCCCATTTGGACAAAAGGGATGAAGGATCACCAGTGCTGAACAGTCACCAGCAGGCGACGATTCGGCTATTCATCGCCAAGTCCCTTCGCTCAGGATGATGTAGCTCCCACCTGCTGCTACCAGGAAGAAGCTGCTTACCCAGCACACCCTCAGTGGGCTCCCGGAGGACGCCTGGGTTCACATTCAAACGTTAGTTGCTTCGCCTCTTTTAGGGAAAGCGCGTATTGGGAAAGAATAACTAGAACCCAAGCAGTCAAGGGCTTGGACAGCATCCAGCTTGCCCCTTGCACGGAAGGTAACCCGAGGGACGTGACCCTGATCCTCAAAGACACGTTCTGCACGTGGGCTCGATGACGAGGGGTCTTCCTTGCAGCTCTAAACTGACTGGAAACTGCTGAACGTGTTGCATCTTTGAGTGCAACAGTAGTACTCAAATTCTGCTCAAGTATCTTTAAAAGCACCTATAGAACCTTTTGAGAGCTTCTGCCCTCTGAGAGAGACAAATGTAAAACACGGACACAAAACAGCTGCTCAGCGTGTTGACTTGCACAAAGCAAGAGACAGGGTTTCGTTGTAAGCCGGAGCTAACTTAACCACGAAAGGCGCGAGTTATTTTCTGCCTTTTCGTATCACGCATACTGCTCCCTTCCCAGATGCATAAAAAGGAATACACTCACTTCAAGGCCCCGGGGAAAAGATGCAGGACGCTGTACAGATACTGTACATACTTACCAGTGTCTCAACCACATCATCGCCCTCCACCTCTCTGATCTGCCCAGAAAACCCATGCACCCATCCTGAGAACACAGCACAGGCAACAGAGAAGAGCTGCTTTTGAGCAGTAATAGGGCAAACATACTCACGTTACATGCATCCTAGGCAGGTGGGCCAGCCCGAGTCCTGAAATTTTGGTAGTAGGAGAATCTAGAAGTTTCCCCTCATGAGAAAGGACGAGCTAGAGCTGAAGAGCAGCAGCTTCTTAAGCTGCCTACCAGCTGTTACTGCGTAGTCTATTTTAGCTTACTATGTAGACAAACATACATGCACGTGAATAGATTAAGTCTGTTGTTTTAACGCTGCAAAGCTGGTTCAAGTCAGGGTCGGGAGCTAAGCTCGGCTGGCCACAGAGGTTTGCCCTCATGTGACTTCCTAATGCAGAACAAGACCTTTAAAATCTTAAGCATCATTAAAAACACCCCAGAAAAGCGGCAACTAGCGCACTCTGCTTGCATGTTTCACCGTGCAGAGGTAACACTAAAGTCAAATGACTTCAAATAACAGAAGCACCATTACAAAACAAGGATGAAAAACTCTGATGCAAGTAAGCTGCCCTGCATTATCATAATTTGCTTAAGACGACTATTAAATAACTATTACTTCAAGTCATATTTTAGCTACCTTGGTTTTAGAAAATGGTGACTAATGTTATCAGCTTCCTAAGCATGTGTCCCAGTTGTTTTGGATGAAAACCATATCCAGGTCAGAATAAAAAGAAGCAGCTTTTAGATATTTTTATTAAATAAACCTCCATTAAGCACAATAGTCACCATGTCTGTGCTCAATATTACTTTGAAGAGTAGACTGTTCGTTGGCTGTGCGCTTGCTCATCATCTCAACTCCCCTCTCTTTCCCAGTTTTAGATTCTGTGGATCATCTTTGTAGACTGGAACACAAGCTGGTCTGCTGTCCAGTCCTCAATCCGCGTGGAGAGAGGCCGGAGAATGCACGTCCCAGTAATTTACTGTGTTGTCCTCGCAAGAGGAAACCGAGCGGTCTCAGGGCTTGAACACAACCCATTAACGTGCTGCTCCGAAACCCGAGATGCTACATGGGCTCTGAGACTACCATCGGGATCACCAGGAGACCGATCCCTCTGAGAGAGGCTTAACAATCAAATCCACATCAACTATTAGGCTGTTCAGATTTGTCTACGATAACTGTGTAGGCCAATTCCACGGGTGAGGGGATTACGATCCAACCAGGAGGCAGCTTTTCAGCGCTGTGCTTTCTCTAGAGAAAACCAAAGACCCCAAGCACCTGCTTAGCATACAAGATCCTTAGAGAGCACAGAAACTCGGCTCCTCCTGGAAGATTCATTTACTGCACCACGAGCTCAGTTTGACCCGTAGAGGCTCTTACTTCAGCAATCAGAGAAGCCAGCCATGGAGTTTCTGATCAACTGAACGGTCATTCCATCAGCTGCGACAGACCAAACTACTACGTCAACAAGTGTGCCGAGGCTATTAAAATCTCAAGGAGCTTGGCCTGAACAAGAACCAGCTAGATTCTCCCCAAATGAGATGGAAGCCGGAGGGACGGAGCTGTCCTGCCCTTCAGCAACAAGGCTGCAGAGGACACCCTGGAGCCTCAAGCGCGACAGGGACTGTCAAGGCGCACACGTGCTCCTAGAGGTACCTGGGCCAGCATACCCTGGGATGACTGTCATCGCTGGAGAGATGAAACATTTCTGGCCGCGACTCAACACAACGCTCGGAATTTCATGGTTTGAACAGCGTCCAGGATGCTACTTGGCTCCATCACTCGTACTAATTTCACCAATTAGTGCAGAAGAGCTTGCTAACTCATTCTCCTAAGATTATTCTTAGGGGAAATGATCTCGGGGGGCAGAAGCATCATAGGTACGTGCCAGTAACAGCAATATTCCCTACAGCATCAACTGGCTCCTGCTGCTTGGTTTGAAGAATCAGTTTACAATTACCATTCAATAACTGTACAAGAAATGCAAGTCCTCATTAGCGATTAGAATCCTTCTCCTCCCACCACTTCACAACACAAAGCTCTCAAGCTGCTCACAGCAATGAGAC